AGTGTGGCCTATTTACGATGTCTATCGTAAATCCCCGGAGCACTGTGAAAAAGACAGAGAGCTGTAACATCGGATAAGAAATCAGATGTTCATGTTTGCCACTCTGCAGGTGCAATGCAGTCACTTCTCTGTGAAACTTGTTCTAATTTTAGCAAGTACAAATAAATTCATCACACATTCTGCCCTGTGTTGTTTTTGAGTCCCCGAAATAAAATAGATGGTCCATTAAACGTCTGTAAATGCTCTCTTGTTTATGTAACTACACAAAGCAAAAAGATTGAAACTTCATAAAGGAGAAGCAACTTAGCAGTGGGGTGATTATTTGCCTCCTTACACTGGGTTTCAATCCATTTCAGGATCCGTTTAAAAACTGTATTTCTTGTTTTTAAGACTTGGTGATGGATTAGCACCACCTTCTATTATAGATTTTTTGAAAATCCACATACCAGAGATCTATGAGCCAAATGCTCTTGATATCTTCCTAGATCCAGGCGTGAAAGCAGAAGTAACAGAGCCTTTTCAGCAGGGCCCTCTAATCTTTGGAACAACAGCTCCAAAGTGCAGCTGACAATGATCATTTTTCATTATTATTAACACAGAAATAACGGCACTAAATATAAAGGTGAAACTTTACATGGTGTGATGATACTAATGGACCATACAGTGATAATCTCTACATGACAGATTTTCAGCTTGGTTAAAGGAATAGATTGACATTTCAGGAAATACATATATTCGCAATAATCAAGGTTGGGCAAGAAGATTAATACCACTGTCTAGTTTGAATGCTAAATATTAGCTTGACCCAGAAATAGGGACAGGCAGTGTGACAGTGTAGCTCTATCCAAAGGAAAAGCGTGTTAAAAGACATGTTAATTTAATCGTTTTGGCAATATATATATGAAATTCATATTTCTTTTTTCTTTTCCTGTGCTGAGACAGACACCGAAGTTTAAAATGATAATTTTCCTGGTAGCAGACGGAGATTCTGATATTTTATTCTACTTCTTTCTTTTATTTTCCAAGTTATTTGTTCAATATTTAACAGAAGAGAAACAAATACATTTTTTTGTATATTTGCAGATTATTCTGCACGTTAATTATTCTTAACGTGTTAATTAATTAATTACTAATGGTCACTTTAACGGTCAATTTGTAAATATATTCTGTTTTTTTAAATAATAATCAAGCTGTTCACGTCTATCACACTGCACAAAATATA